GACTCCAACACTTTGTCTCTGTCGGATGAAGGACACATTTAAACACTTCATGTTGAAGTTTTCAAACATGTAGCTCTCCCTCCTGTCATGATTCTTGTGTTTTAATGTTCAATTTATTAGAATTTTCTGTTTCATTGTTTGGTCATCTTGTGTCTTATTTTCTCATTTCCTGTCAGTTTTCTCCATTTCCTGTTTCATGTTATCCTCAGCAACTTCTTAGTTTTTTTCCAGCCTGCCACACTCACCTGTCCATAGTCAGTAATCACACATGTGCTTTCACTCCCCAATCATCCTCAGTTGTATTTAACCAGTGTCATGTCTTCATCACCCTGTTAGATCATTGCCTTTTCATGCCTCGTCTCTGTCCATGTCTTTTGTATTTTTGCTGCCGCGCCAGCCTTTTTGTTTCATTAAATCAGTTTTGTTCTGCATTCAAGTCCTCGTGTCTGCCTGCATTTTGGGTTCCACACCAATCAGAACACCTCCACTCTACAGAGAAACAATGCTGGGAAAGTGTTTTGTCTTTATAATTTGCTACTTTCTTTCATCTGCAGTGAGTAAAGGACATCCGTTTGAAATATATATTACTAAACCCCCTTTTTCTTGAGTTAAAAACTATAGTAAAACAAGTTACAAAACATATAAAGAGATACTAAGTTCAAATAGTAAGTTAAACTTACATTTAAATCTTGTTCTTCTGTTTGACRTCTCTCCTTGATGTTCTGTTGAAAACTGGTCTCAATAAAACGTTGGATTCAAACAAATATATCTGCCTCACTGTCGAAGTTTGCTTACTCAAATGAGATGAAAGATGCTCTTCAGAAAGTCAGAGTCCTTTGACAACACCACAATTTAAATATATTTATTTACATAGCTACAAAGCAACATTTTATTTATACAGCCCCAATTCCAATGAAGTTGGGACGTTGTGTTAAGATGTATGTAGAAACAGTATGTAAACAGAGTTTATGTATGTAAAATCTGTTTATATTATGGTCAAAGTTTAATGAAATTAAAATGCAAGGCAATGCTTTGCTCCTTGTTATTGACCCTTCTTCTACATTAAAGTCCATGTGTTATATGAACACCACGCTGTCGCTCATGCCAAGAGTCTTGAAACAGAATCTTTCTGACCCAGTTACTATCAATAGGTCCATGTTTTTGAAGCTAAGTTGGGTCTAGGGAGGGATAGTGGAATAGAGGGCTAGCTTAAGACAGATGAAAAAGTCAGGATGAGAAAACATACAATTAAATCATAACAAGACCTTGCAGTGGATGTCTGTGGTAACGACTGCAGAAAACATATGTACCTGTAACACAAGAAGAAAATCAACGCTGACATGGAGTTCACCCAACGTTACCTCCCAATGGAATGGGAAGAGCGATGGAGGAAAGAAAAAGAGAGGAAGAAAAGGGTGATTGAGGAAGGTGGAGAAGGGATAGAACAAGATAACCGTGAGTTGAGAAAGATTGTTGCTTACAATGATTCCAGGATGGGCCTGATTAAAGAKGAATCAGAGGTCAAAATGAGTACCACTAGTTCCAAAGTATCTGGGGGATRTTCGAGTGATGGGGCATTTGGAAATGAAGGTTATAAAGTCCATGCTTGCTGCAKCAAATCTTTTCTTAAAAACATGTTTGTGACTTTGAAAGACTTCCAGGATTCATCTCTTCTCACTGACCTGACTTTGACTACTGATGATGGTAGCAGTTTCCATGTGCACTCAGTTCTCCTGGCTGCCGTCAGCACATTTATTCTGAAAAGGATGAAGGAAAAAAGCAGTAAACAACCAAACATTAATGAAGAGGAAGAAGTTAGGTGGACAGTGGGGACTGATGTTGACCGAGTTGGACTTCAGGCAGTGATTGAGTTCGCTTACAGTGGAGACGTGTCATCTTTAAACAAAGACACTATTATCCAAATCAAGACTGCAGCTCAAGTGTTAGAGGTCCCACGACTGGTGGATTTATGTAACCAAACTACTACAAAACAGAAGCAACAAACAGTGACTTCAGAAGAACATTTGAGATCTACTCTTCGGTCTGTTGAACAACTCTGGGTGGACAAAGTTGGATTTGAAGTTACCTTGGATGTGAATGGTAATCAGTTTCACGGTTAGTTGACATGATTTTGTTTTATGATGTAAATTTTAAGTGTTTTTATGAATATTTAATTGTGAGCTTCTTGTATTATCTCCAGTGCACAGAGTTATCCTGGCAGCATGCAGCGACTACTTCCGTGGAATGTTTACCTGTGGAATGAGAGAATCCCATCAGACCTGGATCCCCCTTCCCTTCCTTTCCACTCCTGATTTAGAGGCTCTGATCAGTTTCTCCTACAGCGGGACCCTTTATCTCAGCTGGGACTCTGTTTTTGAGATAACCTGCACTGCTCTCCAGCTTCAGTTCCAGCCTGCACTCTTGATTTGCCTTGACTTTATGAGAGACGAAATCCAGACAAGCTCCTGTCTGGACATAGCATCTTTTGCTGAAGCCTATGGGATGGCAGAACTCCTTGAGGAAGCCAATGACTTTGTGCTGAGGAACTTTCGGGAAGTGTCAGCCACAGCAAAGTTTCAGGACCTTTCAGTAGAGAAGCTTCTAGACTTCCTCYGCTGCAATGATCTGTGTGTTCCTTCAGAGTTGACTGTATTTCGAGCTGTAATCTCTTGGATTGAGGCKGACCCTAAAGAGAGACTGCCCCAGGCTGGTTTGCTGATGACTGGAGTTCGATTCCCGCTGATGACTTTTCGGGAGTTCAGGGAAGTCAGAGCCATTAACCTGCRTATGGAGTGTTTTGCAGACAAAGAAGTGGAACTCTATGGTTCAGCGCTAAAAGAATTTGGTTTCAGCCTCCCTAAATCCAAGGATTATTGTCGAGTCAGGCGACCAAAAGATGTTCTAGCTGTGGTTGGGGGAGACCAGCTAAACCCAGATGTGGGTCAACGCATACCAAGCAAGGACATTTGGTTTGCCAACTCTTTACGCAACGGCACTGGATTAGTGAAAGAGATTGAGTGGAGGCAACTTGGTGAGATTCCAGACAAGCCAAAGTTCCGACATGGAGTGGCTGTAATGAATGGCAGGTTGTATGCAGTAGGAGGATGCTAYTTTTACGCCAAAGATAATATAATGAAGTCAGCATACAGGTAAAGAAATATGTAAGTTTATAAATTCTACTTTTATCACGCCACTTTATGTTTTCAATTCCTCTGGTCTTCTTGTCACTGCACACATGGCAGTTATGATCCTGTAATGGACATCTGGAAGAGGCTGGCTGACCTGAATGAGTCAAGAAGTAACTTCTCCTTAGTGGTCCACAAGGACCACCTTTATGCCATTGGTGGAGACATAGAGATCAACACCAACACGGAGACTGTTGAGATGTATAAACCAGACACCGACTCTTGGAGGTATCATTATTATCACTTGTAGTTAACAAGTTTGTACYTTATCAATGTTTTAAAATATAACCAGAACAGAGAGAAGAACATAAATGTATTGTTACTATACACCAAATCTAAGGAATTAGGATCTGCTTGCTGTTTTCAACAGCACACTTACCTTTCCAACACAGTCTCACTCCTTACTCATCACATATGGATGCTTAGTCAGGCTCTCTCCATCACTTATTTACAAGTCAAGTTACAGGGATTAGACAATGAAAGTGAAACACCTGGTTTTAGACCATAACATCCCTTTCAGACAGCTTTCTCTTGCATCCACAGTTAATCCTGTTGGATGTGGTTCATCCTTCTTGGTGGTATGCTGACATTACCCTGGATACCGTGGCTCTTGATACATTACAAACACTTGCTGTCTTGGTCACAGATGCTCCAGCAAGATGTGCACCAACAGTTTGTCCTCTTTTGGACTCTRGTATGTCACCCATAATGTTGTGTGCATTCCAATATTTTGAGCAAAACTGTGCTCTTTCCCTGCCAATTGAACCTTCACTCTCTGCTCTTACTGGTGCAATGTGCAGTGAATGAAGATTGGCCACCAGGCTGGTCCAATTTAACCATGAAACCTCCCACACTAAAACGATAGCTGTTTCAGTTTCATTGTCCAACCCCTGTATTTTTTTATATTTAGGGTCATTGTTTAGGTTAGGAGATTAAGTTTACTGGTTAGTTTTAGATAATAAAGTCAGGCATTAGATGTTTGGGTACTAGAGGTTAAGTTTAGGGTTGAGGGTTGAACATGGGTTCAATRGTTAGGGAGCAGTGTGAACTCTGCATGTCATTTCACTGAGCAGAATCTGGGTGTTAAATTAAGTTCAAGTTAAAGAATCTTTAATTTTCCTGAGGGGTAACTTGTTGCRCAGTCAGTAGACATAAAAAACGTTCATACTAGACAAAAAAATGCAATGCCAATATTTAGATAGCAGAAATTACTATTTCTCTTTTCCCCTAAGAAAACGTTTAACTGAAAACTAAAGGCAATTCCACTAATTTCAGTAAATGTAAAACAGATATCATTCATAGAAAATAAAACATAAAAATGGAAAATATCTGTTTTAGAAAGTACAGTATGAATATTAGACAAAAAAAACCATCAACTCATTTTTTTCATGTCATTGTCTGTGTCTACCTTTTTGTTTGTTTTTTAGTGTTTCAGTGTTCCCTGGGTATCTCTGCCCTGCTGTCTGTCATTCCTCCAGCCCTGCCCTAGTTCACCTGTTTTCCTCTTGTGTCTCCTCCAGGTGTTTCTTGTTGTCTCATTAAGTTCTGCTTTTACATTCCATGTTTTGTCCTCTGTGTCTTGTTGGATCATTGTGCTGTTACCAGACATTGTGGTGTCCTGTGTTCCTTGTGCTTTTATCTCCCCTGAGATCTCGTGAGTGTTTTTGAGCTGCYTTGCCAGCCTTTTGATTGTTTAATAAACTCTTTTGTTACATTTTGGATTTTGCCTGCGCCCTGGGTCATTCTGCAGCAAACTTCACATTTCAGTTTAAAACAGTGCCAGTGAATAACATCTACACTAATCATATCTTAAAAATGTTGTAAAAAGACAAATTTTATAATGTTTGGTTTTCAGCTGTTCTTTCTGTGAAATCAAAATAATAATTTCTTCCATAAATGATTTCATTTTCCACAGCTTTGTCAGGCCCCTGGACCAGGCTCTCAGTGGATATGGCCTTGCTGCCATAGATGGAAGGATTTTTATTTCTGGAGGTTTCAACTGTAAGTTTGTGTGCCTGGTTTCCATGTTCCTGTACCACCCAGAGAGAGGAACTCTGTACCTGGCAGATATGACCCATGACCGGGCTCAACACTGCATGGAAGCCCTGCAAGGACGTCTGTACGTCGCTGGTGGGGTGTGTAATCTGAGGAAATATTATACTAACCAACCAGCCTGTGAGGTGTACGATTCCATGACTGACTCATGGACTGGTTTTGCATCTCTGCCAGTGCCTCATGTGGGTGCAGCCTCAGCCACCTTGGAGGAGAAAGTCTATGTGCTGGGGGGATACTGTCAGGAGGACTACAGCGAGTCTGGACTGGTTCACCGCTTTGATCCCACCACACAGCGGTGGGAGAACATGAGCAAACTACCAGGGGCTGTAACTGACATTAAGGCTTGTCTTCTCCGCTTGCCCCAACACTTTAGACAATGAATGGTTGTTCTTAAAAGGCAAATCATATGATCCTTTTGTGCATGTGTCAAAAMATCTAAAATCAAATCGGGAGATAATTTCTGATTAGCTGAAGTTTGGAATGCTGATGTTTGAAGAGACGTAGTTAATATTAGCACTCTTATTTTATTCTGTTTTTTGACTACAACTTGTAGAAAAAATATGTAACATCTGAGCATAGCCAMTTTTTTTCAAGACTGCAGTGACTCAAAAATTGATTGAGCTTTTGTTCACTTGGTTGCGGTTCTGCAGCCTGCCAAGAGATTTTTATTTAAGTCAAGTTATTTAACTGTGCTTCCCCACTTGAAACGAATAGACATCCACACAGTTATTGCAATGACCAAACAATCCTCCTTTCTTTCTTTTTAATTTATTTTCAGACAGGAATTCACAGACATTATTCTAGGGATTTAGATGAAAACAAAAAGTCCCACACAATATCAAATCCGACAATGGATTCTAAAGGAATGGTAAAAACCCCACACAATTGTAAGATTTCAGTCTTACACTTCTTATAACAAAGTTATAAGAGTAATTTATTTAGCAAGGGGTCTCTTTTATTTCGGGTAAACATTCCTCTAGTGCAAAAATGAATGGACACACAARAAGTRACAGTCAGTGAATGTTGATTTGATCCATAAATATTGCGATCATTTATTTTAAAAATCATACAGCATCACTAAGTACACTTAGTTGTGGCAATCAGTTTCCTATAAAAGTTTAGAACTGACAATAACAAGCTTCTAGCTTCTTAAATTGTCAACAAACACTTAAATAGAACACAAACGTCAACTTAGATGTTAAATACCAGACATTTGAGGCAATTGACTTAGAGTTGGCAAGGAAGACTTTTAAGAAAAGGAGGAAAGTAAGGTGTTAGCTTTTCCTATACTTTATCTTAAATAATGGGTTTTAACCAGAAGGGTGAAGCGTTCTACTCGGCATCGGCCAGACAGAGAGGTTCATAACAGCCAGCTTTTACCTTAAAGATGATGTTCTGTCACCTTGTCCAGATATTTCGTGGGTGCTGCTAGAAAATCCGTCTTCAGGACTAGGCCTGTCACGATAACAAATTTTGCTGGGCGATTAATTGTCTCAAAATTTATTGCGATAAACGATAATAT